CTGCCCTGGGGCACACTAACAGAAGCAAGGCAACCATTATGTACCATCGCCCTTTCCAACCACCTCCGGCCATTCACTAACACACCAGACTCATCCAAGGCAATGTGGGTGAAGTGTCTTGCCTAAGAACACCCCACTGTGGCATCTGGTGTTCCCAAAGGTCTCCCATCACAGTACTAACTAGACCCTGCCCTGCATAGCTTCAGAGATTTGACAGGATCTGGCCTTTTCATGCAAGCCAGATCAATAATATAATATAAATATACATAATTAAACTAAAATCTACTCATAATCACAATCTTAAAAGCTCACAACTCAATGCCTGTTCCAAATCGTTCAGGGCTCTGTTCAAGTCATTTTTCAGCGTAAAATAATAATGTTGTTTGTTTGCTCTAATAGCGAACGGCGAACATCTGATATATGTGGCTCAGGCGGCTGTAGTGTGCACCTTTTGTGTGGTGTAATTACAAAAGTCGTCAACACCATAAGGGAAGGAAGTAATTGTGTTTGACCTCTCACACTGTTTGTGGGCACTTTCCAATACGTTCTCTTCAATACCCGCACTGGAGGGTAACATTTGAGAAAGTACACTGCAAAGAAGCCTTCAAGGTGAAACAGTTTTGCTCAACAAATTGGAATTTCAGTTTCTATGATGCAATTGTATTAAATCCCGAACCAATTCACGACTTGATTAGTGTATAGGCACGGCAAGGTTTACTTGTATAGCACATTTCATATTCACAAGGCATCTCAAAAGGCTGAATGAAACTAGACAGAAACAACCTCACAAAGCATTAAAATCATATATTATCACCGTACATCAAAAAGAGTAAAGATAACAATAAAACCCCTTGGTTGTATGCACAGCTAAACAGAACTGGTTTTAACCTGGATTAAAAAATTGTCAGAAAAGAAGCCTGTCTCACATTTTCAGGAAGATTGTTCCTGATTTTAGCTGCATACATCTGAAATGCTGCGTCCCCATGTTTATAGACCAAACCCAACTTAAAGCTGGAGTAATCAACTTTTAATCCACAAATAAAATATAATTATGTCACAAAAAATATATTTTTGTCGTAGAACTAGTTTTCACATACATGTAATTCTAGCCTGTCACATCTTTAGATCAGCTTTTTCAGACAGAAAAGTAAAAAAACACCCTCACTCAGCTCTGAACCCAAAGCACCATATTGTGACTCACAGGGCTCTTACATATTCCAAGATTAAATGTTTCTCCAAGATAAGAAAAAAAAGTTCTATAGTGCTCTCCAAAATATTGTGTTTTTAACGCAAATCAATATTAACCACTAAGCACGCTTTACCTTTAAACATTTTGTGCTACAACCAAATTCTTCTTGTGATGCAAGGCTCTCTTTTTCCCACAGAGAGCTACTTTTTTGGGACAGAAATTGCGTAGAGCTGCTCTGTTAATGAGTTCAACAGATATACTTTATAATGATGACATGTAGGGATCTAAATATAAAGTATGTGCCATCGGCCCCACTGACCACCAACCACACACACACCAGACTCATTAGGCAGTTTGGGTGAAGTGTCTTGCCTAAGGACACATCAAAAGTTTGGCACTTTACAGCCGCAGCCCCACTGTGGCACCTGATGTTCCCAGAGGTCACCCATCACAGAACTAATCAAGCCTCACCTTGCTTAACTTCAAAGGTCTGGCGGGATCTGGCTTTGACATGCAGGTAAGGCCACCACATTTATATTGACATAACAATACAAAAATGTACAATATGTCTCCTTTAAATCATGAATAACCATAGGAAAAAATATAATCACCTCAATTTACCAAAAATACAATGTTCCGCAAAAGAACATTAACAAACAGAATGCGACAAATGAATCATATTTGGAGAGCTTTGTTGTGTCTTTGGCTCATGCGGGGCTCGTCTTTAGGCGGTGAGAATGGGTGGAACTGGCTCAGAGAACAACATTGTGATCAGGAAAGACAATAAGAGGCAAAGAATGAGCTTGTATACCGAAACCAGCGGCCCACTGCCTTCCACGTGCACTAATCCACTATCCTTGTCTAAGCTGCAGGATGTAATTGAACCAGTGCTGACAGCGGTGTTAAAGATAAAGCACAGGCCCCAGTGAAGGCGGAGAAAAATGGCAGCAGATGGTCCTTCTCTTATGGCTTGTGATGCATGCAAGCGTTTTTACCTCGCTTTCTCTCTCGTACAGCAGAGTAGGCATTTTTCTTATTATGAATGACCATTTTCCTGACGTTCTTTTATCTTTGGCCAACAAAACAGAAACAAAAAATCTGTTGTGAAGTCAATCCAACTTAAAAGGCTAAATTTATGACTAAAATCAAAAACATTCAAGACAAAGCTAAGACTGAAAGAATATATTTATACTTATTGGTCAAGTAGACCACAGCAAATGCGATAGTCCTCACAACGTCACTGAACTGAAACAAGAATTAACTGAGGTGACTTCAGTTGCTTTCATATCTGACAAATCGGGTGCACTTGACTAAAACGTTATGGATTCAGCCAGCAAAGTGTCTTTCTGTTATGAGAAACCAAATTGATCATTTAAGAAAACTAAATGTGGAAAATGCATTAAAGAAGCTATACCCGATTTTTTTTCTAAGTAGTTCATAAAAATGCTTATTACTACATACAAGTTGTATTATAATCCGTAATTTAATTGAAAACTTGAGGTCATTGATTCAGCTGTGTAAGAATACAAGCCGTGAAAACAGCCTGCGTCCTCTAGCCCCTACAGCAATGGTATACACTAGGGCTTCGACTTCGAAATTTGAATATAATTCTAAAATAATATAAAAATATATATATATATTCGAACAAATATAAGACAGCCCTTATAATTCGAAATGTATTCAATGACTGCAAATAAAATAGTTAGCTCCCAAAGGTTTCACCGGGACGTGCTAGGCAGGTAACAGCTAAGCTAGCTAGCTCCCCGGAACTATGTTAATGGTCACTTCCGGGTTTTTTGCGATCGCTTTTTGTCATATTAAAATAGTAATTTTGTCATGAAAATGATAACAACAAATTCTAAAAATGTCCGTGCATGTGTGTTAATGATTTATATGTATACTGTATTGTCAGATTAATATGTAATGGTGTTGATTGATAGATATGTAGTTGTTTATTGAGCGTGGCTAGCTCAGCTAGCTCCGCTAGCTTCTCCCGTTGTACTTGTGGAGTAATGGCAGTATTTTACACACCTGAATTACAAACAGAGATTGCGTTGCCAAAGGGCAGCGGTCATTATTGCTTTGAGAGTTCAGTTATCAAGAAAAAAATATCGGTAGGATTACATTCAAGTCAATGGAGTGTTCTACTGCTGCTGTGAGGAGCTCTATAATAAATTATAATTAAATATTCTAATATATTCTAATGTTTAAATGAATACATTCAGATGCGAAACTAACGGTATTCTTTTACCTATATATTGTGTTAGCAGTGCGTTGTTTTAGTACCATTTCATCAGTGATTGTTATACAGCTTACAAGAAGTTGTGCTAATGCTAATGTTAGCATACATGTCAGATCACAAATTGAACTAGATGGCTCTGTGTTGTGTGAGTGTAGGAGAAATGATAAGCCATTGAGCGAGTTGGGGGGCGGTGCTAAACATTCAAACCTTGCAGAAACAGGTATAGCGCCTTTAAAAAGTGCAGAGCATATTGTTTGACCCGTTTCTAATGCTGGTTGGCGTGTTGTTTGGACTCGTGAAGAAGATGACATAGTCTGGGATCGTGTCTTAAATTCCGACAGAAGACATGTTTTATTGTCGATGGTAGAGACAGCACGAACAACAGATACAACAGAATGCAAGTGTATTATACAGAGCGGAGGCATGGAGACCTCCAATCAGCAGCTGCCACGGTGCCATGTAGCTTGGCCTTCAGATAGACAAAACAAGGGAAAAGTACAGGCTTCTGCACATTGATAGAATGATGAGTTTGAACTTTAACAATAGTTGCTTAAAAGTGTTATGAAATCTCACACTCGTGTCTGGCTTTCACCATGAGGAAAACAGGAACGTGTACTTTCTAAATAACTCTCCTAAAGTCACAGCGCACTCAGGAATTGCATTATAATAGACTACAGCTTATTATCCCACAGGGGAATTTCAATTCAATTAAATTATATTTTAGGGCAACAGTGGCAGAGCATTGGCCTTTGAGCCTAAAGGTGGTGGGTTTGAGCCCACCATAAGACCTACTTCACGACTCCCACTGATGACTGCTGTCGTTGTGTCCTTAACCCCTCTTTGCCTGAAGCCCCCAATGAAAGATCTCAGCTCCTGTGGGCTCACCACCTGCAGGAGGATCAGTGAGGGGCTGGTGTACAGGGTACAGCTTTGACTGCAACCCCCCTGACCCAGAAATGGATTAAGGGGAAGAAAAAGGATGGATAGATAAATTATATTTATTTACAAAATGTCATAGTCGTACAAGTCGGTATTTAGGTATTGTAGGTATTTTGTAAAAGGGAACTCCCAGGAAGCTACATTAGCTTCTAAGTAGAGCCCCAAAAACAAAACAATATATTTGTATGTTCTCATTATGCAAAGTATGTTGTGTGTCGTTTTTTTTCTTTTATGCATATAGTCTATAACCTTCTTCACCTCACCCACATGTAAGCATTAGGCTGTTAAACTGTTTGGTTCATCCCTGTAAAACTACTGTTTATATTAAGTTTTCACTTCACATCTTGGTAAAAAGCCTACCTTGCAAGTTGTTCAGCCAGTGTCGCTCAATGTGTAATAAAAGAGGTGCCCACAGGGTTTTTGGATGAAAAACCTGTGTGAGCCTTGTGAATCTCTATAAATAAAGTTACTTGCTTGTGTGCTTTGCCAATGTTATAATAAACTTTGGGACCTTGCTCCCTAAATCCTCCACAATATGCACAGTTACCGACTGCATGGTCCAGACTGATAACACAGTCTGAAGTTAAACAGGAAACTTTGCTTCCTGCACCTCTTCCACACTTCTCAGCTCTATCCGTTGGGGTGTCTGTGCACTTTGTGGTTCCAGGCCTGCGGGCACACCGTCTCTGCCGCTGCGCTCAAAGACGCTGGCGCACCTCGGATGGCCCTGGTGGGGAAGCTCACGCAAACGGAAAAGCCCAGGAGCGCCCAACAGTGGCAGTGGCGCCGCAGAACTGAGAGATTGGATAGATGAGGAAGGAATGAGTATTCATGTCCTTTTGAAGCTCACACCAAAACAACCTGAGGCCCGCCGCAGCCGCCCCAGTGGCAGACATGACAGTCACTTTGGCAGGCGCGGCTGCTCACCAGGGACACTAGTTTGCCTGTGTTGCCGCCCTGTCCTTCCGATCGCCACGGCAACTTCTGCTTCCTGCTATATACGCAGGTCCTCCTCCTAGCTCTCACACGCCAGGGCACATTTGGCAACCCCAGGACAGGAGCTCTCCATTCCAGCCCAGCTCTCAGTGATGCCAACGATTTTGGAAACGGTAACCTGAATCTGGCTCGGTACATGCAACACAACTCACAGCCCACTCATACTGAACTTTCTAAATAAAAACAAGAGGAGGGGAGAATCCTCTTTGTGGAGATATCCCTCTTGGGCTAGTCCAGAAATCAGAGCAACGCTGAACATGAAAATCAGGCTAGCCAAATTTATTTCCACATCAACATTTCCTGTGCCAAGAAAAAAATAATTACAACAAAAGAAAAGAATACTAATTAGGAAGTGGGTAATGATTCAAGCCATACATGGGCAGACTGTTGTGATCATCACTGTTATTGTTTTTTTATTGTCTTTCTTCTCTGTTAAGAGGCATAGAAAATCAATGGCAAGTGTTCCCTACGGCCTGGCACTCACTGCACCCGAGTGGAATGGATGAAGACGGCTCTGGGTTATAGCTCCTTTCGCACACTGTCGCTCATGCACACGGACGCACACGAACGCACGCACAGCACCAGCGGCGGCTGCTGCTGCTGAGGAAGATCACAATCTCGCTTTTAATTGATCTTGGTCACAGTTTAATGTGAGGCAGGATTAACTGTTATCGGAGGAAGGAAAGAGGGCACGAGGAGGGTTTGAGCAGATATCACAGTCCCTGACGCTAAAACCCGACGCCCTTCATGACAGGAATTTTTCTGATCTGACCCACAAAGATGTGAGAGCACCGCCAAGGCTGCTGGGAAGAGGAAAGCTGGGCAGCAGCGATGGGCCACATCAAGCTCAACTTAATCCCAATTTCTCTGACGTTATGGGCCAAATCTTTGGCTATTTCGAGCCTTATGGAAAAAGCTGCTCCCACAAGTTTGTGCTATTTACATGTAGACCTACATCTAAACCTTGGTGTAAACTAGGTCTGTTTAGTGGTAACAAGGTCAAATAACAAATGGACACACAAGATAAGAATTTATTTTAATTAATTAATGTTGATTGTGTTCTTTAGTTCTCTTCATTTAGTTCTCAGCACTTTGACTTACCCAGTGTATGATCTGTGCTATATAAATAAGCTTGCCTTGGATCTGGATAGTTTCCATCACTTTTTGAGTCAGTAAATCTACTTGAAGTTTGGAACTGAAATCTACCTCATTGGGGCATAATTATCACTTGGTAATAAGCTCTTTTACCTTCAAACTGCATCTCAACCATTTGGTACAAACATTTAATACAAAGAAAATAGGGTTTAAAAACATAACAAGGAAATATTTGTGTTATTAGTGCTCCTATATGATAGAAAATCAAAACAAGAAAAAATGAAATGGCTTTCTTCAAGGAGTGAACATTAAAGAATACAAATCTGTTGATATAATTCTGGTCAATTTTTTCTTCGTTATAATTACAAAACTTTGAATATATTGGCTTAACGTGCTGACCATTATATCGGTCAACAGATTACATATTCATCGACTCATACATAGACCTGTTTTATCCGTCCACGTGCCGGATACATTTTTCTTATTTTATACTTCAGAGCCACTAACATCCAGTAATTTGGCTACAGCTACAATGCCAGTCAGCATGAAAACACAGTAGCATGTGCCAGCTGGTCAAGCTTCACACCGAATGCGAGGAGAAAAAAATAGAACAGGAATAACTGCAGCCGGGAGAGAGTAGACCTGTGCCAAATACAGCATTGTGAAGTCGGACCAAAACAAAGTGACAGTGACGACAAGCGCGTAAGATGCTAAATCTGCTTTAACTTAACCCATCCGGTGACTTTGCTCATGCTACAGGGCTTTGATGTGATTTACGGTGGGGGCTCTGCTCTGGGAAAGGCAGGCTGGCAGCTTCAAAAGGTGTAGACCAGAAAAACAAATCATCCCCACCATGAATCTGTTGCTTCTCTCGCCGCTCTTTTCTCCACTTGGACAGTTTTCTCATTCAGCACTCTCCACTGACAGTAGACTATAGTTCAAGAGCCTCTTAGCAGTCTGCCTCACCCCGATCCACCCCCAGCCAACTGCTTTTCTCAGAGTTCCCAAGACAACACTTAACCCAAAGGATGGATGAAAAATCGGAGGCAGCAGAATGTTCAATTTCCCCACAGAGAATGCGCTAAATGAGACGGGATTTGATTTGAGAGTGTTGTGTTGCCTTGGATGCATTTGTAACTTTGTTGTGCAAATCGTCAATATATAGTATATTGTAATAGCATCTGGAGCGAGGCGGTCAAACAAACAAGGCCGCATCAGCAATCAAGCTTCTTTCCGGCTGTGATTCATGACGGGGTGACAATCGACACTGTATTGATTCTCATAGCGTATAAGCTAATTAAATTACGAGTGTTTTATGGCCTCGCGATCGGCGCATTATACAGTAGAGGAACAGATCCACCTTTATGAGCAGCAAACACCTCTGTGCCCCAACTCATTCAGAGCCATAAAAACATATTTATGAGAGCATCAGGCCATTGAGCCACGCCGATGTTTGCCATTTTCTCTGCGCGCTGTGATTCCATCCGAGCATCGAGATTGATTTGGAGAGCACCTACTGTTTCACCCTCTGTAAGAGAAATGTTTAATTCATCATTGAGCATCCCCTTTTTTATAAACATGTACCCCAACTATTACCAGTCCTAAAAGATAAGGCAAGAAGAATTTTACAGCTACTGCAGTTACAACCAGCTATTTATACAGACATCTGGCAGACTGTCACAACTCTGAGAAATGCAACTGGAAGATTTGTTTAATGTCTGTAAGTTCAAATGTTTTCAATTTGAACTTGCAGAACTTGCCCTGAACTAAGAATGTGGTTATATTCTAAATATAATGTTTTATGTCAAAGTTTATCTATTAATTTCACAGGGCCAATGCAATACATAGTTATAGCAAACGATGCAACTGGTGTGACACAACCCGCTAAAGTAAATGATAATTCTCAAAATGTGGATTTTTGAACTAGGATGGTAAATTATGTGTGGTAGGATTATTTAAAACTAATTATTAAAACTAATAATCAAAGTAGTGAAAATTACAACAAAAAGGTCAAATCAGTCTATATTGGTGCAGATAATCGTCTGACCCATTGCTGTAACTATACTTGCTTGTTACTCACCCACTTCATTTACATCCCTTTGAATCGTCTTTCCCTGCATCAGTCTGGGACAGTTCATAGTCCCCTCTCCTTCTCCCTGGCTGCGGCTGTAAAGTGCCAAACTGTCGCTCTGTCCTTAGACACTTCACCCAAATTGCCTAGAAGGGCCAGTGTGGCTGTAAGTTTTAGCTCCAACCTGAGCAGGAGCACACCAGACTCCACCCATTTCCTCAGGTGAGTCCAGTTTTAACCTGAAAATTTGAGGAAATGGGTGGAGTCTGGTGTTTTTCTGCTCAGGTTGGTACTAAAACCTGCAGCCATACCGGCCCTTTCTGGAACCGGTTTGACATCCCTGGCCTAGAACGATTCTGGTGTGTGGGTGAATGGCTGGTGGTAGTCGGAGGGGTCAATGGATGTACCATTGACCCCTCCGACTACCACCAGTCGGAGGGGTCTTACTTCTGTCAGTGTGCCCCAGGGCAGCTGTGGCAACAGTAGTAGTTTATCATCAACGTGTATTGAGCGAAAGAATAATGACATGTGAAGCGTCTTTGAGTGCCCAAAAAAGCCCTATATAAAAAAATATAAAACAGTAGCATTTGTATTACTATTTTTACTTTTTTTTATTTTATTCTTTTATTTATTATGAAAGAAGAACATAATCCACAAGAACAGGCAGACTAGTAATGAAAACATATTTTAGGATTTAATGAATAAATATATATAATACAGAGGTCAAGTGTTGAGTAAGCGTTTGCGCATACTTAAGAGCCTTCCGCTGTCGGGGGTCGTTATATGCACGCACCCTGCACGGTCACGTAAATCAAATCCAACTGGTTCTCCAACCTTCCACGGAGAGGCAATCAATGCGAAAGCCGACCTGCTTTCACATGTTAACGCAGTGACTGTTCCGGTAGAATATGTACAGTATTTCTTCTGTCATAATAATTTTTGTGATTTAGAACGATGAGATGAGTGCAGGTCGTGTGAAGTGGGTCTGTTCAGTCTACCAAAAGTGGAGGGCTGATAAATATGTATCTTCAAACTTTTCGACATTTACTTTAAAGGCGCTATACCCGTTTCTGCAATGTTTGAATGTTTAGCACCGCCCCCCAACTCGCTCAATGGCTTCTCATTTCCCCTGCGCTCTCATAACACGGAGCCACCTAGTTTTATTTGCGATCTGATATGTATACAATCACTGATGAAATGGTACAGAAGCAATGCACTGCTAATACAATATATAAGTAAAAGAATACCGCTAGTTTCGTGTCCGAATGTATTCATTTAAACATTAGAATATATTCTAATATTTAATTATAATTTATTATACAGCTCCTCACAGCAGTAGAACACTCCATTGACGTGAATGTAATTCTTCCGATCATTTTTTCTTGATAACAGAACTCTCAAATCAATAATGACCTCTGCCCTTTGACAATGCAATCTCTGTTTGTAATTCAGGTGTGTAAAATACTGCCATTACTCCACAAGTACAAGCTATCAGCGCCTGTCACTACACTGTGCAGTTTATCTGCACACTTGTCTGTGTAGAGAAGCTAGCGGAGCTAGCCACGCTCAATAAACAAATACATATCTATCAATCAACACCATTAAACGTTAATCAGACAATACAGTATACATATACATCCTTAACACACATGCACGGACGATTTCAGAATTTGCTGTCAACGTTTTCATGACAAAAATACTGTTTTAACGTGACAAAAAGCGATCGCGAAAAACCCGGAAGTTACCATGAAACAGCTAGCTAGCTTAGCTGTTACCAGCCTAGCACGTCCTAGTGAAACTTTTGGGAGCTAACTATTTTATTTGCAGTCATTAAATACATTTCGAATTATAAGGGCTGTCTAATATTTGTTCGAATATATTTTTTATTTATTTTAGAATTATATTCGAATTTTGAAGTCGAATCCCTAGTGTTTAGCAGCGCTGTAGAGGCTAGAGGACGCAGGCTGTTCACTGCTTGTTCTGTGAGTGGAGGAGAACGAGCGGCCCGCTCAGACTCTACTCAGCACTTTTCACGGCATAAATTTCATACACAGCTGAAACAATTACCTCAAGTTTTCAATTAAATTATGTATTATGATACAACTTGTATGTAGTAAAAAGCATTTTTATGAACTACTTAGAAAAAAAATCGGGTATAGCTTCTTTAAGTGTTTGTTTCTATTCATTCAATTCAATTCAAATGTATTCTGCTGTACTAACAATACGACCTAATGTTAGCTAGCATCAAGATTTCAGTTAGTTGGCCGTAACGTTATCAATGGGTTCATAAACACTAAACACCAAGTGTGAATTATTCATCACGGCAGAATCAATATAACTGTCATTTCTCTATAACAGTGTTGAAACAAGGTTGAAGAAAAGCGTTGGCCTTTCTGCAGTACAGTAACTGATGGAGGGGAAGTTGGATTATTTTCTGTCATGCTTTCCCACAATGCCGCAAGCAGAGAGCACACAAGTCCCATGTTGTTCTGGAGGAGCAGAGACAGTAACAGACTGTCACATGGCCGGACTGTGCCAGCTGTACAATCACCAACACCAATCCTGCCTGGCAATCGTCAGCCTGTCATTTCTAATGGTCACACTGGGCCAGGAGCACTCAGAGCCCCTCTCTTCACCGGAGCCTCCGGGGACTGCACAGTGCTCGGGATCTCTGAGGGGTGAAATTGTCTCGATACGTTGCGAGTTTGTGCTTATGTGGCGAATGCTCCAGTAAACCTGTGTTTTTGTTTGACTTTGCCAGGGAGCCAGGAAATGTATAATTCTGTCAAGCACCTATCCAGAAAGGGAGGCTCGCTGGGCCAGGCAGGACTACAGTCATTACATCCACGCTCGCGCACAAGCAGATGGCAAAACAGATGATCCTCACTCATCTCACTTATGACCATCCATATTTATTTCATGGTTGCTGGCCCACAGACTCCCCATGCCCATCACTTCTCCATGAGCGCCTTGGCAGGGAGCAGGCTGCGGATGCACACAAGTGTTTGGAAAACAAAACAGGCCTGAAAAGGGAAGCATGTGAGAGCGAAAACAAGAGGATATGAGCACGAAGCTCTGAAATTCTAAAAACTAAACAATGCTTCTTTCCGATACTTGGCTATCAAATCTGTTAAATAACTTCTCATTGATCAAAGACAGCAGCAAATCCATGTGTTGTTGCGGGCTGCTGTTCATGACTAAGGCCGTGGTCGATGCTGGTTGACGTGATTTATACGGCTTCGTGGAGTGCCAATAAATGAAAGGTCTGATTGGCCCAGTGTAGATCTTCACTCACTGCCTTTGATCTGTGCTACTTACTGTGGAAATGAGCAGCCCAGCTAAGACAAGTCAGAGAAACATTATAGCCCTATCCCCTGGAGTCAGGCCAGGGCTAAAAGCCCAAATTGGTCCGCACCAATGCTGTATAATGGAACCTGCTTGACTAAAGGCCAATTTTAAATCCACTTGACCAACGCAATACCAACTATGCAACATCGATAAAGGTATATTTTGCTGAGACAGGGATTTGGCCCGTTTTACCGGGATATGTAATGATCTTTCTCCTCTTTTCGTGCTACAGATATGTACATTAGTAACTTTATTCTGCCACCATCATCAGATCTTACCTCAGCCCTGTGGTCACTCCTGTTTGCTCTTATTGTGGTTGTCTCAACACATATGCCTTGGTCTTGCCAGATCTGGCAGCGTCCTGGACGAAGTCTGATATTTGGGTTAATCATCAGAAGTGACACAGAGGTGTCCCCTGGGGCCAGCAGCTGAATGAGCAACTCAATTAATAGTACACAGAGGCATGTACTCTGGATAAGCAGGAGGTCGCACTGACCACTCTGCTCCTGCAGGAGCCCATTCAGCACAGCTCTGGCACTGCCACGGGGAGGACAGAGCGTGCTCCAGTTACTGCAGTGATTCACCAGAACCAAGGACCGTCTGCAGGACATGTGACACATACAGATGAGTGGAGCAGCTCTGTTCCATTATCGCTCAGCCATGGGACTCAGGAGGTGGGCACAGGAGCGGGAATCATAAACATCATCCAAACTACAATTTCCCTCCTGCTTTCCCTTGAGCCAGACTCAAAGAGGGGCCACGGTGGGGTGAGTGATAAGGGCAGATTGGGTCTATCCTGTTAGCAGGGTACAGAAAAAGCCAAGGGGCTCAGAATAGATAGCTGGTTCTATCAAGGCTAAGGAAGGGCCCTTGAGTCTAAGTGCCATCATTTCCAATAGCAACAAGCGGATAAAAACAGCTGGTGCCTGTGGCAAAACTCCAGCTCTGATTTATTTAACCCAAGGACACAAGACAGGTGAACACGAGATCACTCCTTTTGCACGGTAGAATCAGACCAACACAGATATCTAAAATGTTTCTAAATTGGTAATATTTGTTTCTGTAATGTTGCATGTTTGTTTCATAATATTTATTAAAGGTCTAACATTGTTACCATTACACCCCCCTCTCTTTCACACACACACACACACACACTGCACACACGTATCATTTAAGTCCTAACGTTTCCAGTCTATTTTGTATTGCCAAAATAAGGGCTTTACTGATCCGTCTGTCATTGCTGGATACTCCAATAACTGGGCCATCGACAAACTCTTTGCACCACAAAAAAAATCCTAAAGCGTAAAAAAAAATAAGAAAAAACCACTGCCACATACAAGCACATGTAGTCTATGGTTGCTCCCTGCACCAAAGAGTAGAAGAAACGTTTTGACCAATTAGATGAAAGTGGATATCCTCTGCTCACATGAAAACATCTCAAAGAAGAACAGTGTAAGTGAAACAGGCGGCGCCAGTGATTGTAAGAGAATTTTACTCATGACAATATTGAACCCTGTTAAACCTCAGGGTGAATGAGTGTGTGGTACTGTGGGATGACGGTTGGAAAATAGCGCAAGGCAAAAATCCTGAGAGGTGTGTTCATTGACATGCACTGTCCCAACTAAATAAACAATAAACTAAACTATAAATCCCATGCTCACAGCAAAAAGGTCCTGGGTTTGATTCCAACGCTAGGCCTTTCTCTGTAGAGTTTGTATGTTCTCCCTGTGTCTCTGTAGGTTTCTTCCAGGTGCACCAGTTTCCCCTACCACTAAAAACATGTACTAAGGTTCAGAGTGAATAAATGTGTGTTTGTGAGTGCGACTGTGACACCATGAATGCAAATTAGCCCAATGCTACAATCCGAAGAGGTGTGTTCATTAACATGCACTGTTCCAACTCCAAATAAACAATAAATAAATAAAAAGCTCTTAAAGACGTATCAACTATTGTTTTGTCTCCAATCATTGTTCATCTTTTGGGATGTTCATCTGACACAGATGCTCATCCATCACTGCCCTCTCTGACAGACAGATAGTACCATCATAGAGGAGGAGCAATGCACAGGACGTCACACTGTTCTTGTGGCTCTTGTTGCTGTGGCGATTGCCAAGGGTAGGTTACGGTGCCCTGACCCATGGTCCCTCCAAAGGGATAATGAGCCTTGTGGCTCCTCAAATGAATGGCGTGGGCAGCAAAGGTTCAGCCTGTTTGCTCATAATGAGCTTCTACCCCTTCAGCAACAAGCCACAGGCATTTTATTATTCTTTTTTTACTTCCATGTGGATCACATGGACAAAGCAAAGTGTAAGCGTCACAAGAATGCACATCAACGCATGAGATGGGGTTATTAAACAGAAGCCAACACCAGTTGACATTTTGAGGTCAGCTCCTCTTCACTCTTCAGTCAGACTACTCAGCATCGCTGATTAGTGCGGTGGCTCTGAGGGCTTCTGTGTAACTGTTGGTCCAAGAAGCTAATTAAGAAAGACACAAATCAACAAACAAAACAACGTATCAGCTCTATGCATGTCTTGTGAAGGCAGGCAGCAGTACAAACATGCCAGCCGCTCAGGTCCCTAAAGCCAGAGGCCAGACTCGGGAGACAGGCAGCAGACAGGGCCGTGATTTTGGCCATCAAGCTCATGTCATCTTCTGTGAGTGGGGAGAGAGGTGGCCAAGGGAGACAGCTGCAGCACAGTGTGGTGTGATGGTGTGATGGGGAGATGTCCGCTTGTGCATGTGAGGAGGGACTGAGGGAGCAGATAAGAGCGAGGACAGTTGCTCACAGCACAGTGTTCGTCTGACAGCCACAAACTCCACTGAGCCGCTGTTTCCTCCACCACAGCCGCAGATTACAGCCGTCGTCTCCTGCGGACCACACAACATGGACTCCACTCAAGTCCTGTCATGTGGGCAGCCACAACTGAAGTGTGTACATCCCACTGTCCCAAAGATAGCTTTTTAAATTACCTAAAGTGCATATGGCCAAAGGTTTCTTCTCTGGACATGTTTTACATGTTTAAGGTTGCTCTCTCCTAGCCTGGCTCTGCCAGACCCTTGTAGTTCCGCCATGCTCCACCAGAGGCGTTTGGCTGAACCACATGGGTCTGGTATCGACGCCATAGCGAACGACTTCCCCAGATTATTTTATTGACCAATCAGGACTGCCGGTGTTACGTGAGGTTTGCACTGCCTTCTCAGGCTTCTCTCATGCAGCAGCGAGAGGAATCCAAGATGACGGACTTAAAGTCCGCGAAACTTTTTAAAAGAGTAAATACGATCGAATTAAGACACGGATGTCCCTTTTAATGCCATTTGAGGCGAGATGTAGATGGTTCTATGTTGATATATGTGTGTTTTAAGAGTTCCTGTTTACACACTATGCAGCAGGGTGGCCAGGTTTGATGGTTCCCGCATATTGAATTAAGGAGTCCACATTTAAACATTATGAATAGACAAGTAAATACTGTAAGTACAGTAAGAAATCTTTATTCATGTAGAGCATTTTACAATGATACAGAAAGAGTTTTCCAAGTTCCCGTTAGCATTGGGTGTGCTTTAAACACATTACTAGTAACATTACTCTTATGAATGTTTTTGATCCTATAACTAAGTTTCTGTTTCTTTAAATAGTTTATATATTTATCTGACTGAAATGACCTTCATTGTTAAATGTGGTTTTGCTTTTAACAAAAATCAAATCCAATCTTTCCATCTAGTCTTGGTTCAGTTTGGTTTTCTGCCAGAGAAGATCGAGTGCTGGTTACCATACCAACACAGTGTTTACTGTCAGCAGTTAGTAATTGGTCTTCAGCATTAGACTTTCAACAAACTGTTTTTGCTGTATTTCAAGTTCTATTCACCGGTTTTAGCACTTAGTAGAAGTGAGTAAAAGTGAAAATCTAATAGATTATATTTCAAAATTTTTAACCCTTTCATGTTTTTTCATTTGATGTTCTTTAATGTTGTTTTTTTCCCTTTGTTTGTTGTATTGAATTTCAATCTGCAGCACTTTGAGGTTAGGTGGAAATGTAAGGTGCATTATGAATAAATTTATTATTATTATCCTTATTGTTAATGACAAAGATAATGATAATAATAATAATAATAATAATCCTTATTGTTATTAAATTAGTTTACGTTAATATTTCTAGTGAAAAACTAAAACATTTTTGGAGGGAATTTCTCAGCACTGCATTGGTTTGAATGGGGGCCGTTCATTTGACAGCTGCGTGTTATTGCTCAGCGTTATGCCGCAAAAAAACACAGTAACAACTCAAACTTATCGCACTTCATTGCATTATGGACATCGCACTTGCTGTCATCACTATGAGTATATTTCTTCCGATACACCGTACAGCCCTACTGTACTTTTTACAGTCCCGGTTCACCACGTCTAAGCCCCGTGGAAGCAGAGGCACCACTTACTCAACAAAGAGAATGACAAATGAAGTGAAGCCTCGTCTTTTCACCTCAGTAATTAGAGGCTGAACAGGTGCGATGGCGGCCCAGTGGAAGGGGTGGCAGTTGGTGTGGAGAAAGCGATTGGTCCCCGTTGAGCGCTGGGGTATTGACGTGGATCTAAACCTTGGCCTGGCGCTCGCTCACACTGCTCCATAATGATAGCTCTCAGCAAGACTGTGATTTCATTGAGACTTTGATGTGAGCCGTAATGGCCGCTGACAGATGAGATGGCACCCGCTCACCACTCTGCCGCTCACTGTGCTCCCAGTGCAGGGCGCGGGCAAGAATTGATTTAATCTGACCTTTAGTCGTCTTGTGTTAAATCCATATTAACCCGCATAGGGATTAATGAAAGAAGGACCTTTTAGTCATGCTGATCCAACACAGATGATTTAAATGGATGAACTTTTTTAATTGTACCAAAACATTGAGAACGTGTTAAGATTCTTCTCACTATAGAGTATCTCCGTACTAACTCTTCAGCCCACGCACATAAGGCTCTGAGTGAGGAGGTGGATTTCACCGTCGACATTGAAAGGATTCAGGAGAAGGATAAGAGTATACGTGTACTTTTATGTATCTATTCATTTAATAATGACAATGATAATAATAAATAAAATGGAGATCAATGATGAAAAGGTCCGAGGCACACTGATTTTAAGATAACATCCGGACCTTTTCCTCTGTGTTCTCAATTCTCTTTTCCCAAGGATCCTCAAAGAGCACCAAATCTCTCATGTTTGTTCTACATTTTTTGATCCCAGAATGTGCTCGTTCCTCTTGTTGCAGAATAGTGATATTGTTATCCATATATTTGCTTTTCTGGATACTATGGATATTAATTTACTCTGTCCACGGGGTGGTAATCTACAAGCCACAGCTGCCCTGTTGCAGACTAACAGAAGCTAGACATCTGTGCCATCAGCCTCCCCAACCAAAAGCAATCATTCATGCTCATAAAGGCAATGTCATAGGAAAAACTGTCTTGCCTTAGGACACGGCAACAGTTTTGTACTTTACAGTGTCAACCTGTAGCCCCTGGTTGAACGACCTTCCATCAAGTACTAACCACTTACTTACTGTAGCTTCTGAGATGTGACGGACCCGGTTTTCGCATGCAGATGGATAACTAGGAGAGCCTTTAGGAGTCTTGGCTCCAGAGGAGAGGAACCCATTGTCCTTGTTTGTAGTTTTAAGTGCAGACACAGGAAGAACATGCAAACTCGTTCCATCTAGTTCTCAAATGTTGGACTTTTTTCCCATGAGACGAGAGCACCAAATATGGCACACTTTTTATCTCGTTAACTACATTGGTGTTGTTGATTTTGTTTTACAGACCAACCCAGCTATTTGGATGTATAAAGTAACTAAATCTCTGATACCGTACCAATATGCATTCTGTAAGAAATTTCACACAGGAGCTGATTTTTCCACTAGCATGCTAACGTTCAAACTACTTCTTTCACCAAAAATACAACCGCTACTGTAGCATACAGCTGTCGGCGGTGTGGCGTGTGTTGCTAACATGGTTGCTAAGGAAAGCAGGAGTTTCCTACGTTAAGGAAGGCATCTGATTGGTCAATCCTTATATGGCTCATTTCTGGATGGAAAAAAAAAATCAAAACAAACACCAGGACGAGCACGTAGATGACTTCATCACAGATTTGTAATGCCCAAAATAGTGATTGTGACAAACAGTTATATTTTTCAATAATGTTGGCGCAAAACTTCCTCCATGAGCACTTCCCTATTGGGCTTCATTGAGTTAGAGTGTTAGCATTGTCCATATACAGTGCCTTGCGAAAGTATTCGGCCCCCTTGAACCTTTCAACATTTTGCCATATTTCAGGCTTCAAACATAAAGATATAAAATTTTAATTTTTTGTCAAGAATCAACAACAAGTGGGACACAATCGGGAAGTGGAACGAAATTTATTGGATCATGGGCCTCTTGGCTGCATCTCTGATCAGTCTTCTCCTTGTTTGAGATGAAAGTTTGGAGGGACGGCCGGGTCTTGGTAGATTTGCAGTGGTCTGATACTCCTTCCATTTCAATATAATTGCTTGCACAGTGCTCCTTGAGATGTTTAAAACTTGGGAAATCTTTTTGTATCCAAATCCGGCTTTAAACTTCTCCACAACAATATCTCGGACCTGCCTGGTGTGTTCCTTTGTCTTCATGGTTCTCTCTGCGCTTTAAACAGAACCCTGAGACTATCAAAGAGCAGGTGCATTTATACGGAGACTTGATTACACACAGGTGCATTCTATTTATCATCATCAGTCATTTAGGACAACATTGGATCATTCAAAGATCCTCACTGAACTTCTGGAGTGAGTTTGCTGCACTGAAAGTAAAGGGGCCGAATAATATTGCACGCCCCACTTTTCAGTTTTTTATTTGTTAAAAAAGTTTAAATTATCCAACAAATTTCATTCCACTTCACGATTGTGTCCCACTTGTTGTTGATTCATGACAAAAAATTAAAATGTTATATCTTTATGTTTGAAGCCTGAAATGTGGCGAAATGTTGAAAGGTTCAAGGGGGCCGAATACTTTCGCAAGGCACTGTATATCGTCTATGTATTTGTGTTAATATGTGTAGTGTTAAACAAGCTATTATTTTTTAAAGAATGTACGTTAGGAAGATGTTTATTTTTGCATGTAGACTTTTTTACAGTCAAAACAATCAGTGTTTCAGATATAAAAGCAAAAATCATTTATACTTTACTGCTATGTAAGTTTTGAAATTTGCTGAAAAAACGTTCCCTTGCAATGGTATCGGCAGCTCCCTAAAAAGCATCGGATCAGAATTAAAAACATAAAAATAAAAGGAACATCCCAACATAAAGGATATCTCGTGACATTATTCCAGGTTTGAATACAAATACAAAGAAGTGTTTTGTGAAACAGTTCCTGTGAGCTGCTTCTTTGGGGAGGTGTGCGAGTGGCTGTCCCTGGTCAGATTTGCACAATGCCATGTTTGTTTAAATCGTACAAACAGATGTTGAGGAGCACTCCGCCTATGTCATGTTGTATTATGTTCTGTGTCGGCTGCAGAAGGAAATACAGCTCATCTCTGTGGCGCGTGCGTCTGGATGAACGCAAACAGACGGCCGAACATGGGAATGCACTGTCACACCGCACCACACGCTATCAATCACCACCGCGGGTTGTTTACATTGTACCCAGCCAACGGGCCAGCCAGCTCTAATATTTACCATGCGGCGGTCACTACAGGGTTGAACAGAGAGCTTTAATGTAACCACAGGAAGCGTAGGTAGTGTGCGAGCAGACCTGACCAACTGTGAAAACTCCCCAAAAACATCTACATCAATGAAATCACCTGCAGGCTGTGACAAGTTTAAATCGTGTTATTGCAACTAATATTCTATGGAAATACTGGTCATATTAATATTCT